GGCATATCAAATACATACAATAGCATCGACCGGGGCTCATATCGTTCTGTACACAACACCCAATCGAGAATCACAGCACGCTCTATGTACAACACACGCCGTATGAATCTGTATATAGGCAAATAGGAGGCAGGCCCGCTCTCTGCCCACCGCTTCGCCTATTCCCCCCCACCTCACTCCTCACTTCTTCCCGAGCAGCTTGCCCACTTTATCCTTCACCCCACTGCTGCCGCTGCCGCTGCCGCTGCCCTCGCCAGTCTTCTTCTGCATCTTGCCCACCTTCTCCATCTCCCGATCCTTCACCTTCTCCATCCGGCCGAGGAACGACTGCGCCTCCACCTCCTTCGTCTTCAAAGCGGCGACAGAGCCGCCATTACCGCTGACAACATCCTTCCCACCTTCCAGGTCATCGAGCAGACGCCGCACCTCGTCGGCGGCCTTGTCGAACGCCTTGCGGGCCTTGTCGCCCGTATGCAGGGCTGCGGCTGAAGACGAACCGAATCCAGAATGCGCATAGCTATCGATGTCCCTCCCATCGTCGAGCTTCTTCCAACTAAAAGGCATCAGACCGAGCCTCGACGGACAGGAAGACAGGAAGCCACGACAAGCCGAGATGCCAGGGTCCTCACGCTTCGAGCTGCTTCCTGATGGACTTGGCCTTGAGACGGAAGTGCGTCCTGATCTCGCTCTCGACTGCGTTCGTCAGCCTTTGAACTGGCACCGGCATGTCACCGCCCGGGCATTTGCAGCGAGCGTCGAGCGCGCACACTCACATGGATGGGGCGGGTTCTTGATGTTGTTACCCATAGCGTCGATCAGGACCATCCGGCGGACGTTTGCCGAGTACGCCTTGCTTTGGGGCGTCTGCATGATCAGCAACGACTCGGGCGACTCGGGCAATTCCGGCGAATCGGAACCCGCTGTGTCGACTGATAAGAGCCCGTCACTCACCCCCACGTCCTTCGACCAGCCTGCAGAGGAACAGTCAGTCGCTGAATCGCCAGTTGACAACCCATCGCGAAACGTCGCGGCAGACTCACCCGGCTCGTTGAGGTACGGCTCTTCACACAGGATCAAGCTCTGGATCGAAATGAGAACTTGCAGCAGGGTACTCTGCCCCGAGATCCATCCGGGTCCGGACCAAGTCCCGAGCAGACTCAAGCAGACCTTCTGCACGCGATTGTCAGCCTGGTCCACGGTGGGTTGTGTACGCCAATTCAGGCGGTGCATCCACTCACGCCATCCGGATAGAGGTTTGGATTGTATCGATACCTCCCGCCGTTCGTGGTCATACTCTTCACCTGCGGACACGCGTGATTGTACTCAAGCGGAAGATGGATGTCGAACAGGAAACAGCCGTTCTCGTACGGCGTCCCTTCAGGGCCGATGATCATAGCCTTGATGCAATCGACTCGAGACTCGTCCACCCTGGCTCGGTCAGCACGCCCGCATGGACGGATGGTATTGACAGAAGTAGCGACTCACCGCAGGAAGATGGTCGAATGCCATGCGACGGGAAGGTTGGTGGTGAGAATAGCCAGCTCCTTGGCGATGGCCAGAGACCTCTTGGGGGCGTCCTGGAATCAGAGTATCAGCGCGCACAAGCACGGAACATGCGAGTAACTCACGCAGTTGCCCAGAGCCAAGATCTGAGCCGAGTAAGCATGACGGTAGGACAAGACTCCGTCATCCTCGATCGAGAGATCGGCATATTGGAATCGAGCTCTAGTCGCCCAATCCTCATCTATGGTCGTCAGCCGAGCAAAGTGTCTTCGGACCGCCGTTCGTGACCGGATGTATCGCCAGAGACTTACAGATCTTGATCAACCCTTCGTCTGTCTCCCCCTTGAGGTCCCGCTCTTCGGTCGCTCCACCACCCTGAGGTATCTTCGGCAACGACTCCCTCATCCTCTGCACAAATTCTGCTCCCTTCGTCTCCGCCAAGCTCTTATCGATCGCTTCCGCGGACGCAATGATGCGGTCGCTGTTCATCGCGTTAGTCGGCGTTCGCTCGATCCATGAGCCCGGCCGCCGATCGATGACGACACTCACCAGAAGTCCTCCAAACGCGCATTGGCGTCATGCCTGCGCCCTTTGAGCTTGTCCGCCTTCTCTTTGGCTACCTCGGCAGCACTCATCCTCAGCATCGACTCATCGCCGCTGTCTTTGGCCGGCTCGTCCTTCGTGGCAGTGCCCTCGAGACCCTTGAGAGCCGCTTGAGCCTGGATGACGACGCTCTCAAGCAGCTCGCGAGGCGACGGAGACCCTTCGTACGTCACCGACATCGAACCCGGCTGGTCGGGCAGAGGTTCGTACTTCGCGGGGCGCATCTGCGGCATTGCTAGCATGCCTGCGAGAGCCTCGTTGCTCGAGACAATCTGAGAGTGTCGGCGTAGTGTTTACCCATGTCAATCAGTGACCCACTCACCTCTAGCCAGTCAAACAACGCGCGGTAGATCCCGGCACGATTCGACATATCCAACAACGAGTCGTTGCGCAGCAAGTCATTGACAAAGGCGCTCCGGCGCCGAAGATGAGCGAGGGCGGTAGGGTGCACGAGGTGATCCGAAGTACGCGTGCCGGACGCGCGGTTGGGGTGGGGAAGGTATACCTGGACCTGGGACAGGAGCTCTGCCGTCTCCCCATCGCGAGCCATCTGCGCCGCCTGGGCTTTGAGCTGCCCGGATCGCTTCGGCAGGTCAGCGCGAAGCCGTCGTGGTGTCATCACAAGGAGCTACGCACGTCTTCAACAGTTCTCCCGGCATATCCGACTCCATTACCATGCCCCGCGCCCATGCCGGGAAAGTCATCTTCGTCGTCGTCGGGGTCGAAAAACGACTTGAGACCGCTCGTCATCGACGAGACCCCGGTCTTCGCCCCCGCGGCTACATGCTTTGAGGCCGGACTCTCCTTGAGGTTGAAGGTGCCGGTCTTGCGCTTCTTGGCAGGAGGAGTCTTGGGCGTGGGTGGATAGTCGACACGACCCTGGCCAAACGCCTGCTCGATCATGTACAGCCCAACGCCAATGATCACCCCCTACCTCAATCAGCTACGACTCGCGATTTCGTCCGCAGCAACTTACTTGAAGGTTGACGCAATGCAACAACTCGGGGACTTCGAGCGACGAAGTACTCGCGTTGCCTCTGTCCTTGGCCTTTCCGCCGTCATCGCCAAAAGAGAAGTTGAGCTGAGGTGGTGCCCTGTCCACAGGATCTCCACAGGCCAGACACGTCACATGGCTGCACTCTGGGCAGACCGGGCGGATGACGCTGGCAAGGTAGGAGGTGTACGATGGGAAGTCTGGCTGGACTTTGTTAGCGGCGGCTTTGATATATTTCACTCACTAAGACGGCGAAGAAGTCCTGCTTGCGACGTGTGAAGCCATGACCGCAGCCGCTGGAGCATGGCATATCACCCTGCGAGAGGTAGTTGTAAAGCTGGAAAAGGAAGCTCTGTTCGTCTATTTCGCGTCGATCAGCACGTAGATTACCAGTCCATTCTATAGTGATGCGTTCCAAACCCGGTGCTACTCACTTCCTTCCGGACATCCGCTCATCCACTCTCCGGTGCTCAGCAAGCGCACGTTCGCGCTCTCCTCGCCTGAAACCGCTGCACGGGGCAAAGAGATCACGGCGTACTCTGGCTTGTCGACTGTCTCGATGACCTTCTCGACACGATCCTTGGAGAAGAAGACGCCCGCATAGGGATCAGAGCGGTGTCGGGGAACAAAGTCGTCTGCAAGGAAGCGTCAGCCATGAGCATGGCCAAGATATCCACACGCGGCGCGACCAATGACCATCACATGAGACTGCTAACGCACCTTCGTCGTCGAGATCACCGTAGTCATCTCCGATGTCCACCTCATCTCCCTCCATGTCGTCATCCTCGTCATCCGTCACCGAAACCCTCGCCACCCGCTCCGCAATGGGGACGTCGATGGTAGCCTCGCGAGACCTCTCCTCTGGCGTCTACACAGCTCAGTGATAAGATCCACGTCGAAGAAGGGCGATGGTATCACTCACCTGCAGACCCGTCACCCCAGAATTCACCACCTCGTCCAGGCCTTCATCGTCTGATGGGATGTCGTCGAACTCGCCACCAAAGACCCGCTCCTGAGCGGAGCGTCAGCACGTCCCGCGTGGAGCTCGTGTGGTAGCTACTAAGGACGTGTCCCGCGCGTGTGGTCAGATTGCACTCACAGCCGCGGCCATCACGTCGCCCTTGGCCCTCCTCAAGGCCGCCCTCGCCCTCCCGCCTGGGATACCCATCTCGAGGAGCTGTGTGAGCGCTGGGTCCGCCGGCATCTTGCACGACGGCGTGATACTCTGGTTCAAGTGGAATGGGAAAGGATGAGAAGTGGGATATGATCAGGGACTCGGTCCGCGAGCGGCAAGCGCCCGTTGGTGAGGGAAGAGAAGGTGGAGGTACAGTAGTGTGCCGGCACGCCCTGACCGTGAGGAGCAGGCGGTGAGCCGTGAGTGGGTCGCGTGGTCTGGGCTCCCAAAGCCGGAGCTCTGGGCGATGAGAGCTGTTGATCTGTCGTCCCACAATCTGGATGATGGGAAGGACGGAAGAGAAGAGAAGGACAATGTCTTGTTGCGCTCTGGTGATTTGGATTTGGATTTGGGTGAGGAGGGTTGGACGGGCAGCGACCAGCCTGAAACACATCCGACCCGCCGGAACGAAACACGTGGCGTCACGTGACGTCGCAGCTGAGGTGGCAGTGGGAGGGCACAGTCGATACTGCTGAAATGCACGCCATGGAAAGACGGCCGAGCAGAGAGTGTCAGGAGGCAGAGGGTCACGACGGATGCAAGATACCCAGCGCTATGCATCGTTCATAACACCCCCGCAATCACTACCCGCAATCACTACCCGAACATGGAGCACCCTGTTCTGACATGCACCTCTAACGCGGCACCAGACTTCTCGAAATGGAGCAGTCTCAGGAGACTGTCTCCGTGCTGGGACTGAACGCCTGAGACGAAACAACAAGAGGATCAAAGAAGCGATGAACAGGCCAATATGGCGAGAGCCAGGGCTCCAGCGAGTGCCGCGGCGGCGATGGGGGCGACTCGCGAGGCTGCGTCAGACGCATAATGAAACTGGATTGTCAGCCAGCGGCATGTCATGAAAGTTCGGGCTCACCTCTATCCCGGTCTGATTCCAGAGTGGGGGCGTGGACGAATCCATGGCCACTATGAAGACTTGGGTTTCAGATCCTTGGGGCCCTAGAGGGAGTTCAGTGGGAGCTGTCCGCAAGGCCTACAGAACGAGTACGTCGACGTAGAGTGCCTGAGGCGCTCACCAATTGTCCCATTTCCGTAAGTGTAGTAGTCCAGTGCCACCATCCTGTCGTAGGTGATAAATCCGGCTGGGATGTTGCATGACAGGGCAGAGTCCCATTACACTCGGGGAAGGGTTCGGCGATACTTTCGGTCCAATTCCACCCCTTGCGAATGAATACCACTGACTGTCCTCAGCATACAACACGAGTACTAGCTGAGACACTGGATGGATGGCTACCCTTGGTCGACTGACGCTCACTAGTAATACGGGGGTTGTGCATCCATGACCTTGACTGTGACATTGTACGCTTCTGAACGACGCGGTCAGTCAAATCTCCCATGAGTATCTCGGCCAGAGCTCACTGTTTGTGTGCTCTGGCGGCCTTCAAATCGGTCAGCGAATCTGTCGCTCCTATTGCTGACACAGCCGTAGTCTGCTCACCGAAGCTTGGATTGAGATTGAGGCATTCGCCGCCGAAGTCGAGGTAAGAGAGGCGAGAGTTGCGATGGCGAACAACACGGAGCGGAACATGATGTGTGGAAGTTGAAAGGGTCTGCGACAACGAGACGAGCCCAACTTCAGCGCCCCCTTCTTATGATCCTACAGTGATGGGATGAGAGGCTTCCCAATCATGCATCCGAACAATAATTCTCTATTCGTGACTCGAAGTTCCGGACCAGATTCATCTTTCAGGGAACGAGTCTGGACGCGGTGTGGCAGGGTTTCGCATTTACGGTCGCGTATATGTATACGGGACGAAGGATTCGGGCTATCTCATTCGCTTTACGGTAGCCATGCTCAAAAGCCGGTCGTAAATGCTTTTTTGTCTAAGACTACCGTGACTCGCGTGTGTACTGTCCGGCCATCAGATGGGCGCGGGTTTCTTGGCGGTCCAGGTGAGGGTCAGGAGAAGGAGGTCTTTGGCGTTGATTAGTGGAGGCCGTCACATCGTGCTCATTGAGTGAACGCTTCCTGGTCGGATCCTCTGTCGGTCCCGCAACATCACCCTTTTTGAAAGTCGCTGGTAAGTCAGCAGACGACGTGAGTGGTGAGCATTGGCGGCCCCGATTGTACGAGTAGCTGCTGTGTCTCCAGGTGGTTGGCCGACGTCATGTCGTCTTCGTGGCTGCTCGCGACTAATATGCGCCGAGGGATAAATGAGGTCTTGTACGCCGCATAGCATAGTTGATTTCAAAAAGCACAGCGATTAGTTACAAAATGGGGTGAAACCCGCTATTGACCCACGTCCAATGTCATCCTCACCCAAACCAAATCGCCATGCATACTGTACGAGTACGAGTCCATGCTCAAGGCTCAACCCAGGCTTGTCTGTCCCTCCCTCGGTTTCCCGCCACTGCCACACCCAAGACGTGCCGTGGTGACTGACCGGCGCGGCGGCGCGGGATCAAAAATGTTTGTGCCCGGCTAACCCGCGTTTGTTCGAGCCGGTCTCGTTTTGTGTTGGTCTCCCCTCTTTAAGCTCCGTCCGGTCCACCACGCTGCGACACGACACCGACACGACCCAAACCTTTGCGCACCATCCTTCTCCGTCTCAGACTTCTTGACGATGCGTCTTACTTGTCTCTGAGCGTGGATCGATCACCCACTCATTCCTTGTCGGCCATGCCTTTCCCAATCCGCCCGTCTGTAGCTCTGTCTTCCCGAACCACAACCCATCTCCGTCCCTCTCGTCTACTCTCCACCCAGACCGCCTTCCGTCCGCCATCAACCCGCGCTCCAACTTTCCTCTCAGCACCATCGCGCACCCCTTTCAGCAGCGCGAACGACCGGTTGTCGCCCACCGCCGCGAGGATGTTCTCGCTCAGCGCACACCGCGCGAATCAGCCCAAGACATTTTCGAACCAGAACAAGCTGCCCCGACTGCCCGTTCCGGATCTCGAAAAGTCGCTCGAGGGGTATCTCAAGTCCCTCGCGCCACTCCTTGAGCAGAAGGTGAGCACCGACGAATTCGCGGCCGTAGTACCCATACTCACTTTCGTGCCAGTACGACGCCTCGACTCTGCCCAAGGAAATCGAGAAGCGCAAGCTCTTCGTCCGCGATTTCGCCGCTCGCGGTGGTCTCGGGCGTGCTCTCCAAGAACGTCTCAAAGACCTCGATCACGTATCACCCAACAACTGGCTCGACGACACCCTCTGGCTCGGGCTAGCATATCACACTTGGCGAGCACCGCTGCTCGTCAATTCCAATTGGTGGCTGCTCTTTGCGCCCGACCCGTCGGATCCGCCTCCGCCGACCTATTCTGGCAGCGGCTCTTCGGGGGAAAGCAGTGCTGTACACGTGCCAAACCCCAACCCGTCCGAGGTCAAAGCGAGGGATAGTCAGCAAGGAGGGGAGACATGGGTGAAGGAGAATGCGAGGTTGCAGACGTTGCCGACGTATGAGGAGGCGACGGACAGGGCATGGGTCAGCGATTGGCAGGTCCGAAAGGCGGCTTGGGTGGTCAGGCGATTTGCAGAGCTCAGGACGAAACTGCAGAAGTGAGCAGGGTGATATTGCGGCGATCCTTCGGTGATCGGATTGCTGATCTTGAGCAGGGAGGAAATCGCCCCAGACGCCTCGAAGTCTGGTCCCTTCTGCATGTCGCAGTATCAGAAGTATGTCCCGCGATAGCCTCCAGGATCGGTTCGCGCCCTGCTGACACATCACAGGTTGTACAATTTCTCGCGTATCCCCATAGCTGGCTCGGACGCCTTCTCGGTAATCGCCCCACAAGCACCTCACCTGACGGTCATGATCGACGACTTTATCTACTCCATCGACGTCTTCCCCAAGGCCACCTCCCCCGAGGACATCACCGAGCCTCTACCGGCGGGCGTGATTGAGCAACGCATCCGATCCGCGGTGGACGATGCGAGGTCACGGATTGAGGCGGGAGAGCAGGCCGTCAAGGTGGGGATCCTCACTGCCGACGAGCGGGATACGTGGACCAAGGTGAGCGCGCCACCGCCAAGCTTGTTTTGAGTCACGTCCCGCTTACACATCAAAGAACCGAGAGCGAATACTCCTCTTATCGCCCAAGAACCGCGAGACATTCAACACCATCGACTCGTCGCTCTTCACCCTCTCGCTCGACCCGTACACCCTGCCCTCGATACCCACTTCCGACCCATTGCGCGAGCCCGCGGTGGATGCCCAGATCCGAAACGTCGCGACGGGTATCGACGGCGGCAGGAACAGGTGGTTCGACAAAGCCATCTCCGTGACTATCGAGAATACCGGTCGAGGAGGTATCATGGGGGAGCATTCACCCGTCGACGCGCTCATCCCGAGTATCGCCGTCGAGTATGTTCTGGGCGAGCCAGTGGACGAGAGCAAGTTCACGACCACTTCATCCTCGGCGGCTGAGGGCTCGTCGGGCAAGGGTTGGGAGCGGCTCGACTGGGTCGTGGACGAGGGGATCAAGACGGAGATTGAGGAGTGTCAGGGACGCAATCGAAAGTTGATCGAAGACAGCGATGCGAGTCAGCTGTGGTGGGGCGAGTACGGCGTCGAGTGGATCAAGAAGCACGGTGAGGGACCGTCTCTCATCTCGCAATCGGTCGGCATCGGGTGAACCTCGCTGATCTTGCCGTAGCCAAGCAGTCGCCCGACGCATACATCCAGCAGGCACTTCAGCTTGCTTGGTACCGCGATCAAGGCTACGCAACGGCCACGTACGAAACCGCGTCGACGCGGACGTTCCTCCACGGGCGGACGGACGTAATTCGCACTCTCTCAGATGAGAGCAGGAACTTTGTCAAGTCCATGGTGGATCCGAAAGTCGACGTGAGTCCGAATTGCCGTCCTGCGCATCACAACCGTCGCTGACATACATAGGCCGCGAAGCGTTATGCGCTATTGACCGAGGCATGCAAAGCCCACAACACGCTCACGCGCACCAGCTCCGCAGGACATGGTTTCGACCGACACCTCATGGGTCTCAAGGTCATGCTTCGTCCTGGAGAGACGCACGCGATCTTCGACGACGAGATGTATGCCAAGAGTCAGGAGTGGAAGCTATCCACCAGTGGTCTGAGCGCCGGTGGGAGCTTCATGGGGACTGGATTCGGAGCCGCTTGGCCTGATGGATACGGTATCAACTGTGCGTATGCGTAAAGTCAACCAACCCTCACGTCTCGTCCAGAGGAAGTTCGGCTGACTGACGTCGTAGATCTCGCCGGACCGTATCTCGTCAAATTCGGTATCGAGTCCAAGCAATCATGTTCCGCCACCTCGACAGCCAAATTCAAGCATCGCATAGTGCAGGCTCTGCGGGATATGCGGGCGGTGTGCGAGGCTGCTACTGCCGCGGGAGATCATGGGGCAAGTGCGGGCCAGGACAAAACGCCAAAGGCGAAGCTCTGAGCGGGATTGGGACGAAACGACGAGAGAGGCCGAGCGCAGTTGGACTGGATTGCGTAATGTGACGGATAGCACGTGAGATGCATAGCGATGAGTGTGGATGAGGAGTCGGGAGGGTTTTGGCCCTCAACCAGCCGTTCCCATCCTCGGGTAGATCCTAGATCTGTAGAGCAGTCGCCTCGCACCGTGTTTGCACCCGATATCCCGCTGCCGTCCCGACGTGTCCCGGCTGAAACTACCGCTGTCACAGCTCAACGTCCTCGTCGTCATACGCCTCCTTGATGAGTCTATAGATGTACGAAGGCGAGTGGTCTCCTCTGCATCGCGTCAGCGCGGTGATCCTCTCCAACGCCGAGACCGGGCCAACGCCAAGACGACTCACTCGTTGGTAACGAAAAGGTTGATCAGTTCCGGTCTGATATAGTCGAAATACGGGTTGACCGCCTCTGCATTCTCTACCCCTCCACCTCCTCCCGCTCCGTCGTACCCTACCGCTGCGCCAGGGCTCTGGAAGTCCACAGCGGAATACTCGTGGTAGAGGTTCCACGCTGGGGCGAACTTGAATTGCCCGGTGGTGACTACGACGGGTTTCGAGTGGGCTCTTGCTGCGAGCGCGGCGGAGAGGGAGCCGGAGAGGGCGAATAATCCGCCGTTGGCAAGCACCGAGTGCGCTCCGAGGATGACTTTGGTGATTCGCGGCATTATGGCGTGGAGGGATGAGTCGGGGACCAGGAGGACGGGGATGCCGGCGGATGACAGGGCGGTGGACATGGAATGGCCGAGGTAGCTACGAGGGATGTGTGAGCGGACGTCGCAGCAGCAAGTGGAGGAATGCAATGCAAGGGCACAGCCACAAAAGTAGACGTTATGGGACTAGCGTGATCGATGTCTGGTGCGTGTACTTACGACGGGGCCGACTCGGCGACGATGACGGTGAACTTGCGATCGCGGAATGCTTGTTTGAGGAACGCCTCGACCGTCTTGGAGTGGCCGATGGTGAGGATGACCTCGCTAGGGGCGCGTGAGCCACAGGGGATTTGGAGCGTAGCCAGCCCCGAAACTGCCCACTCACGACGAGTGTATGTGTTCCCTCGCTCCCTTTGC